AGTCACTGGGTATCTATCCAAAGGAAATAAAGTCAGCATAACAAAAAGACACACATTGCACTCCCTTGCTTATTGCAGCTTGATTCACAATAGCTAAGGTAAGGAATCAATAAAAATGTCCATCAACAGAAGAATGGATAAAGAAAATAGGTATGTATACACAGTTGAATATTATTAAATTACTAAAAAAATGAAATCCTGTTATTTTCAGCAACATGGATAAAACTAGAAGACCCTTTATTAAGCACAGAAAGACAACTATCACATTTCTTACTCATATGCAGAAGATTTAAACATTCATTTATAAAGGTACAGAGTAGAATAGTGATCACTAGAGGCTAAGAAGGGTAGCGGGTAGGGAGGATAAAGAGAGGTTGGATAATAATACTAAAGTATAGTTAGATGAGAGGAATAAGCTTTAGTGTTCTGTAGCACAAGAGGGTAACTGAGGTTCACAACAACTGAGTGTGTCTTCCATAACGAACTAGAAGTATTCAAAGGTTCCCAACACAAAGCCATGATCAATGCTTAGAAAGAGGAAAATGTTACTCATATTGTATATGTGGTATGAAATTACTACAATTGCTCCATAAATATGCACAACTATTAAATGTCAATTAAAATTAAATTAGGAGATTATATTCCAAAGAAATAAAGAGAGGAAGAGCATCAGGAATCGTTGAAACAGGTGGCAGTATAAGATGTGCTTCAAGTGTTTTGCTGAGAAGCACCAACTCCTTACAGGCCCATAAATAACGAAAAATTAGGGGTAAAGTTTGGCATTATTTAATTCAAAAATGCATTAATCTAAATCTTTGGCATATAAAAAATGGTCAATGAAACTTTTAGCAATTCTGCAGTTTGTAATCAGTAACATTCGAGGGGAAGACACCTGCCATTTGGGCAATCCTACTATTTAAAACCTGGCATACAATTATTTGTCTTAACCAAATGAGTGTTGTTGTTTAACATTAAGACATAAGACTATTTGGAATCACTGGAATTGTCCCTCTAACTTATAAGAGATCTAAAACTTTTACTTTGGTCAAAGCTATATACCTACCATGTTATATGACATCTGTCCAGCTGTGATGCTAATTGTTACTTGCTCCTTTAGGTACTAAATGTATTTCTATCATTTATGTTCTCCTAATATATAACCCTTCCAAAATACAAAGCTTAGGAAAACAACTGTCCATGTCGGTGTTCTCCAAGTTAAAATTATTAATGCTGCTAGTTTTGCAGGTTTGTGCCCATGTGTTCGAATTCTAACAAAGAAAACTTAATGTTGCTAACGTAATATGGTAAATTATTACTATCCTGAAATGCTGTCTACAACTTGTTTTTCAAAATTTTAACCTTGGCTATTGTAAATCTTGTCACTCACAGTCTGGGTCCTTCTCTGGAACATTTGTAATCAAACTCGTACTTATTTGTCTAATGAGTTAAATCCTTTAAATATTTGGGGTTTTTGGTCTTGTTTGTATTTTCCTTTTGTAATGGCTTTTTTTGTAAAAACTTTGTAACAGCTGTCTGTTGACATTCTGCAGCATTTTTAAGATGCCAGAATGTCATCCATAGAACAGACAGAATTAGACTTTTAAATGGACTGCAGTTAAGCCCATCCTAAGAGTCACTCCTTCTAAACTTCTTTGTTGCTTAAATTTGACCTTTTGGCACTGACTTCCACCTGACCTGCCTGTTACTTCCCCTCCAATGTGGAATCAGATCAGACCATCCAGGAAGAAGCTAATCCTGGTAATGAAGGACTTTCATTAGCCAGAATTGTTAGTTGGCAAAATCTTCAGAGGAAAACTGTTTGGAGAGAGTTTGGAGGAAACACTGTTCAAAAAGAGGGGAGGAAGTTGTCAGAATCCAAATGGAATCACCTGTGCCAGACCTCACAAAAGTTACTAAAGCCAAGAAGTTTTAAGAAGTTTTAAAGAATTGTTCTTAGTTGGGTGCCTGTGGTTCACACCTGTAATCCTAGCTACTCTGGAGGCAGAGATCAGGAGGATTGCAGTTTGAAGCCAGCCCTGGACAAATAGTACCATTCACAATAGCCTTGTTAGAAATATTAGGGTGCTACTATGATCACAAATCAGACACATGCTCGAAATTTGATGGACAAGACAAAATTTACTCCTGCAGAAGGGCATGCCTCTGACCAGAGTCAGGCAAGCAAGCACATGGAGCAGAAGGACCGCTTCCATTTTTATCCCTAATGCAGGACTTCCCCTCTCTCTAACAGAGGGAGCTTGGGTTCACAGTCTACACAATTGACTAAGGTAAGGGTTTGGGAAGGGCATAAGGAAAAAGCAGACGTGATTGGAGAGCATGGACAGGAAACTTAATTTCTTTGGTGTACACAAAAACAAAGAGCTGACCCATGAGGCACAGATTTCTAGGATTCCAGGAAACTGAGGCCTCAAATGGCTGTTGACCTGAAATGGCATCATCAAAATATGTAACTAACCTGCCAGTAAAGGAGACCTTGAGACAGGAGAGCAGAAATTCTTTGGACAATGGCCATCTTAAAGCTAGCAATTTGAGGTTAGGACATCCAATGACAAACGATTCTCTGCTGAAGGCAGAGACTTTATGGGGTCAGGCGATGTGCCACACAGCACATAGGTACCAGGGAAATTAGCTAACATCCACACGATGACAGACACACTCCATAGTGCAGTGGGGGGGACCCATGACCCTGAGATGAAGTCTCGTACTCTACCAACTGAGCTAGCCCTTTGACAGAAAAGGCCCAATTTAGTTGACTCTCACAGTTACAAAAAAAAACTATGAATAAACTTAACTAAGGAGGTGAAAGACCTCTACAATGAAAACCTTGAAGAAAGAAATTGAAGAAGACACCAAAAGATGGAAGGACCTCCCATTTTTATGGACTGTAATTGTGAAAATGGCTATACTACAGAAAGCAACCTACATATTCAAGGTAATTCCCATCAAAATCCTAATGTCATTCTTCGTAGAAACAGAGCAATCAATTCTAAAATTCATTTGGAAGCTCAAAAGACCCTAAGCAGCCAACTCAAAGAACAAAAAAGAGCAACACTGGAGGTATCACAATACTAGACTTCAAATTCTTCTACAGAGCCACAGCAACAAAAAAAAAAAACAGACACAAAGACCAATGGGACAGAACAGAAGACCCAGAAATAAACCCACACAGTTACAGCCATCTGACTTTCAACAAAGGAGTCAAAAAAAAAACACATTGGAAAAAAGACAGCCTCTTCAACAAATGGTGCTGGGAAAACTAGTTATCTACATGCAGAAGACTGAACCTAGACCCCTAACTCTCACCCCGTTTAAAAAAAAAAAGGTCAATTCAAAATGGATCGAATATCTTAATATAAGATCCAAAACTTTGAACACCAGAAGATATAGGAATAGGCTTTTTTTTTTTCTGAATAGGACTCCAATTGACCAGGAAATACTAGCAAGAATTGACAAATGGGATCTCATTAAATTAATAATCTTCTGTACATAAAAGGAAACTCAGAATAAAAAGACAACTGACAGAATGGGAGAGAAAATCTTTGCCAGCTGTTCAATGGATAAATAATTACTATTTAAAATATACAAAGAGCTCAAAAAATTAAACAACAAAAGAATAATCCATTTAATAAATGGGTAAGTGAATTAAACAGATAGTTCTGAGAAGTACAAATGGCCAATAAATACATGAAGAAGTGTTAATATCCTTAGCTGTAAGGAAATGTAAATCAAACTACACTGAGATTCCATCTCACCCCAGTCAGAATGGCTATCATCAAGAAAACAACACATCCCCTGCTGGTGAGGATGCAGGGGAAAAGGAACCCTCATACACATTTAGTGGGAATATAAATTAGTGCACTACCATGGATGTCAATACGGAGGTCATCAAAAAACTAAAAATAGACCTACCTTATGATCCTGCTATAATGCTATTGGCAAAAGTCCAAAGAAGTGTAAATCAACATAAAAGAAAGACACCTGCACACCCTTGTTTATCACAGCACTATTCAAAATAGCCAAAGTGTGGAATCAACCAAGGTGCCCAAAACTCAATGAATGGATGAAGAAAATGTGGTACATATACACCATGCACTATTAGGCAATCATAAATAAAAATGAAATTATTTTACTTGTAGGACAATAGATGGAACTGGAGATCATCATATCACACAAGGTAAGTCAAGTCAAATATCAAAGCCTGGCGCCAGTGGCCATGCCTGTAATCCTAGCTACATGGGAGACTGAGATCAAGAGGATCATGGTTCAAGGCCAGCCCAGGCAAATAGTTCTCGAGATCCCATCTCCAAATTAAACAGAGCAAAATGACTGGAGGTGTGGTTCAAGCAGTAGAGCACCTACTTTGCAAGTACAAAGCTCTGAGTTCAAACCCTTGTCTCACAAATTAAAAAAAAGCCAAATAAGAAATGCTTTCATTCAGATGTGGAATCTAGACCAAAAATGATAATTATTAATAATAATAATAGTAATAGAACATGAGTATAAAGAGTGACTGTCTAGGAGGGACCAATGAGAGGGAGAGGAGGGAAGGAGAGGGTGCTGCGGGTAAAGAGGATCAATGTATATTAGGTATTTATTGAAGATAGTATAATGAACCCAGCAAACACTGTTTGGAAAAGGGGAGATCTGGAAGGGTGATCAAGGTAATATAATGGAAGAGGTGAGTTGTTCAATGTACACTGTATTCATCTATGGAATTCCCATAATGAAACGCCCTTGTACAATTAATGTATGTTAATAAAAAAGGAACCATAAAACACAAAAAAAATTTATAAGTTGGTTATTATACATAGCCAATATTAAAATTTGAGTTGTATAAACTCTAATTAAATATATATTAAAATACAATTAATAAAAATTTAATGAGAAAGTTCATTTTAAAATAATATGACATGATTATAAAAGGAGGACTGTTTGGGAGGGGGAACCAATGGGAGGGAGGAAGGGAAAAGAGGGTGATCATGACCAAAGTACACTATACATACATATGAAAATAACATAATGAAAGCCACTCAAAATTGTTTTAAAAAGAAGGGAATAGGGAAGGAGTTAGGAAAGAATAATATAGATGGGATGAATTTGATAAAAATACATTATATGCATAATGTAAATACCACAATGAAACCCCTTTATACAATTAATTTATACTAATAAAAAATAAAAGAGTAACATGTTCAAACCTACGCTCTCAGTTTTAATTAACAAATACTATTTTGTTCAAGCATTATGTGATGTCTGGGCCATGTTTGTTCAAAATCTAATCATAAAAATAAACTTGAACATATATAGCTAAAACATTGAATGAAATTTAATCTCTGATTTGTACTAGTTTCCAATTTCCATGGTGTGACTCCTCCCACAAGTCAGTTTCAAGCTCCAATCCTACATGACTGCACAAGGAACTGGTAAGAGATGTGTGGTAGCTATACATAGCATTTCCACAGTAAACACTTGACAGATGTGCAGAGCTGCGTAGATTTAACAAAACTTGGTAAAATAATCATAAAGTGGTGAGTTGCATTTATTTTAATACAATTTAATTGAAATATATATTTAACTGCAGCTTTAACAACAGAATTTCTGAAAGTTCAACCATCACCTATTATAACCCAATAAAACCAACTGCAGCATACAATTGATTCCAACTATGGCTAAGAGCAAGTCACCCCAAAAGTCTAGGTAACACTTTCTTCATCTATATGGTTCAAGAAGCCAGTCAGACCTGCCACATCCCAACAAGGAAGAGCATGTACCTTAGGTAAAGGAACACCCAAACAACTTGCAGCCATCCTCTCACTCCACTACATAAGAACAAGGGAGTCGTCCAAGACTTTTTAAACTGAGGTAAATGTCTTAACTGACCAAAATTTAGGGATTTTTTTTTCTCTTACTATCCAGAGAAGTGAGGAGATATAAGGAAGATTAGCTCAATTGCTGAAAATTCTGCACAATTTCAATGCCTTTTGAGTGTGATGTGGATAAATGTGGTACTCCCAAGACCCTTCAAAGAAAGGAATCACAGAAATGAAAGATCATCCAAACTGGTCATACTGTTCTCCACAGTCCATTCTCTAAATGTGTAGAAAATATTACTGCTTGCCATCAAAACAAAAATAATGGGAACTTGGGGGTGTAGCTCTCAGAAGGGAACCGTTTCAGGGTAGAATTCCCAAGAGGTACACAGTTTTGTTCAAATCTCTTGACTGGTTTTTAAAACCACATCAAAGGAGCTCTAGCTAATCATGTAACTGACTCAAGATCACAAGTAGACAAGCCACACTCTAAAGAACTGTCAAGAGCACCTCACAGATTCTTAAATCAGTCTACGATGTCCTGGAAGGTCTTAATTCCATTCCAAAGCAGAGCTGCAGTAAACCCATCACCACAAGCCAAAGGGATGCTCTGAAGGTCATTTTCCTCTCTGGCTGGGCCATTTCACTGAGAACAGACCAACCTTATCCTCCAAGGTTTTGCTGCTGTGTTCATGTGAGTCCAAGAAGGAAAACATTCCTGTAGCTGGTCAAATCACAGTAGAAGCAAATGATTAACTTGTAGGCTTTAAAAGCTCTAGCAGTTTTGTCTGAAACAACAGTTAGTCTTTTTCCCAATCTTCCTCGATTCTCTTTCTACCCAGAGTTAATATGTTAAGAATACTAATTTTAAATTAAGTCTGTCTTTCCCCAAATTTGAGAACTTTGTTTTTTGAATTGAAAAAAAGAAGATTTTCAACATTTTTCATTGCTTTATCTGTTTTGGGAATGATGATAAAGCAGTACAGATGATGGCTTAGACTCAACATTGCTGTGCACAGTAGGAGGCAGGGTCCTCAGCCCTTCTTTTCCTAGTGATGAGCACGGTTAGTGCACCTACTTGAAGGATGGAAAGCCTTTGCTTCGAGTACTTTTCTGAAGCAACCTCTTTTCTTTTAACTTCGAATGGAAGACACTGGTAGAATATTGACAGCAAGAAAACATGGGTTCTGCCTCCCACTGTGTCTGCACTCTTCACTCCCCTTCCTCCATCTCTCTGCTCGAGCTGTTAAGTGGCCTAAACCACCATCATCTGAGTCTGAACATAAAAGACAGAGTGAGCAATTCAGTGCTGGGTCATTCTCATCACACAGTCTCAACAGTTCGTATCTGCTAGGAATGGAGATGGCTACAACCCAAAGGCGTTCTACACAAAACCAGCTCAGTGCAGACATGCCAAAAGAGGCCCCACCCTCTGGGATAATCTAATTTTTTCAAGGTGAAAAGAGGCACCACATCGAAGGGATCAAAAATGATCAGCCTCCTAAGTGAAAGGGCACAGCACAGCACACAGCCATCCTATGGTTTCTAGTCTGGCCCCGTCCTCTCTCCCTTTCTGCCTCTCTCTCTCTTACTTTGTTCCTAGGAGCCTCTGCTTTGAATTTCTAAACCAAAACCCCTGCACCTCCTTACTTATTGTTTTAAATATTGATCCTATCAGTGCTGTTACTGGCTTCATATTTCCTTTAATCATTCAACTATTGCCTAGCAAGTGAGAGGCCTGACTTCAAAACACAGACTGAAATAAATAAATAAATTGCAACTATTTTATAAAATGACCTTAACAATACTGAATACTAATTAAAGGGAAATTTTTTTAATTTAAAAAAAATTTTAAATAAATAAAGCAGGAAATTTTAGAATATGTATCAAATAAGTCAGGATATGGATATTTTAAATTTTTTTTAAATAATGAATCTAAGTTTCCTTTACTGCTTAATTTACGTAGCCTAAGACTACACAGCTTCAACAGATTAGTAGTCCTGTAATAAAATATCACCTTTAAACTGAGTGTGGTGGTACATGCCTATAATCCCAGCACTCAGGAGGCTGAGGCAGAAGGATCTCGAGTTCAAGACCCAACTGGGCTACATAGTCAAACCCTGTCTCAAAAAATAATCAAATATAAATAAATAAGTTAACTTAGTTTTCCTCTTTTATTTTCTAGACTGCTCCCTTTTTCTCCAGAAAAAAAGAAAAGTTTGCTCCCTTTTCAAAAGCAACTCTACTTTAGTGACTCAGTCCTGCAAACACACCCTCTGCCTCTACGGGATTTCCATAGTCAGGAATTCTCCTCTACCCATCTCCCCAGTTTACCTTCCACTGCGACTCCTGTACTCCACTGCAAAGCAGTGCTATCTTCTGTGCTGTCCTCCAGGAAAGAGAGCCTGTTCCTCAGGCCCCTCACCATAACCACCCTGTGTCCCCATCCCGCCAGCCAGGAAGAAGGTGGATGAAAGGAGGCTTCTCCCAGCAGAGCTCAGGGGAAAGGGCAGCCAGGGGAGAACACAGTCGAGTGAAGAAAGACATTTTAATTCATCATGCATGTTGTGTTCATTAATAACAAATATCCAAACAATTGTCTTTTTAGTATAATCCTAATATAAAAACTACATTTTCATTAAAAATTTTAGAAAGAGACAATTCACTTCAGGTAGAAACATGTTTATAGTATATATCTCCTCTTTCTGACAGAAAATAAATTTGGAGTCACGGAATATAGCTCAGTGGTAGAGTTCGTGCTTAGCATGCAGGAACCCAGGGTTTGATAGCCAGCATCAAAAAAAAAGAATAAAAGAAAAGAAAAGAACCTTTACTAATAATTGGCATCAGATACATGCTCTCAAACTGTGCCATCTTTTTCTTCCAGACAAAGAAATGCCATCATCCTGAAAGAAATTAAATTTAAATTATTCCTCCATCTAGAAATAAGGTAATAGAAATGTAATATTGTCTTCTCTTTGTGGACAGTCTATAATTAACATCTCTATGGATCCTGTAAAGTAGGGTACATTCAGGATTATAGCCCAGGCTGGCCAGAGTACTAAAATGAGAGACCTGCACTATCATGCCTGGCTTTCATTGTTTCTTAAAGGATACAAAGTAGCACATGAAAAAATCTACAGATCTAATACATAATCTGAGGATTATAGCTCATTATACTGTTTTGTATTCAGGATTTTTACTAAATGAGTAGATTTTAGCTGTTCTTGCCACACCAAAAAAATAAAGCTGACACTTACATGAGATGATGGATATGTTAACTTGCTGTACTAGAGTAGCCTTTAGGGCTAGGGGTGTGGCTCAAGTGGTAGAGCAGCTGCCTATAGTACCCATTTTATTATCTATATGTATCCTGCAAGAAACATATCTTAAGTATACACAATAACTGTTTTTAGTACAGGATCTCATTCTACAGCCCAGGCTGGCCTGGAACTCACAGGAACTCACAATCTTCCTGCCTCAGACTCCTGAATGTTGGGATTACAGGCCTGGGCCACTACATCGAACAACAAGATTTATGCTTAAAAAATATACAATGCTTTAGTTTACAAAACATGTAAAAATACTGAAAACACTTGTGAGGGAAAAGATTTTGAACAAACTATTCATCAAAGGGAGATCTTAAATAATGTCTGCTCAGATGTTCAATACCTTTAAAGGGCTTTTGAGAATCTCATTTGATGAAAAGCAAGTACATTTCATAAAAATAACAACAGAGAGCCAGGTGCTGGTGGCTCACACCTGTAATTCTAACTACTTGAGAGGCTGAGATCAGGAGGATCACAGTTTGAGGCCAGCCTAGGCAAACAGATCAAGACACTTCCATCTCCAAAACAACCAGAGCAAAATGGACTGGAGGCAGGCCTCAAGCAGTAGAGCACCTGTCTAGCAAGCACAAAGCCCTTAGTTCAAACCCCGGTACCACCAAAAAAAAAAAAAAAAAAGAATAAATAAATAATCCAAATGACCAAAACCAGGTCACTCTATAAATTTAAAAATCACTGCAGAACAACAGAAACACCAAAGGTGCCATGGACTTTGTTGACACTAAGCATAGACCCGAATTGCTAGAAGTGCTGGGCTAATTCCTTGTCATGCAATCCTGACTCTATGACACAACTCATGAGAAATGGGATCACACAGGGAAACGTGACGCAGTGTGATTAATAACTCTTTTAGAGTTGGCACCATCTATTTGGTCAGCCAATTAGTAATTTATATTTCTTTTTCTTTTTGGGTGGTTTTAGGGTTTGAACTCAGGACCTCATGCTTGCTAGGCAGGTGCTGTACCACTTGAGCCTCTTCACCAGTCTTTTTTTGTGTTGGGTATTTTCAAGATAAGTCTCTCAAAGTATTTGCCTGGTTTGTCCTCCTGATCTCTGCCACCTGAGTAGCTAGGATTACAGGCATGAGTCATCAACACTCAGCTTTTAACTAATTAATATTTTACTGAAGTCATTGTTGCCAAGCACTAGGACAGTTGCTGCAGGTATATCAAAGACCAAATAGACATTCGGCCATGGCAGCACACATCTGCAATCCCAGTGCACAGGAGGCTGAGGCAGGAGGATGGTGAATTCCGAGGCAAGCCTAAGCTTCATAATGAGACCCTGTTGCCTAACATACACACAAAAAAAATAAAAAATACATTTGACCTTTGCTTCAAAGTGTCTTATACTCTCCTAAGAGAAGCTAATAAGCAATGAAGCAAAGAGCTTTTGATAGTGTAGTGCAGTCACCTTTTATAACACGAGCTCTTATCTCTTAGAAAGTCGTCTTCTAAGGAAGAGAGCTCTTCCCAAAGGAAGTGACAGCTGGAGTGAAGCTTGAGGGATGAAAATATATTAAGATGAATCAGGATCCTCACAGGTCCAGAGGAAAGGTAAAGGTCTGAGGACACTGAAGAAAGAATACTACAGAAATATGCAAGGCCAATCACACAGGTTCTTGCAGAGTCCTCTTGGGAGCACACATGTTGAGGGTATGAGGTCTGAAAGCAAGAACAGTAGTAACTACTCCATGCCAAAATGCCAGTCCCTATAGTCCCGTTTAGGGTCAGACCCACCAATGCATTTATATATCATTCAGGCACATCACGGGGTCTCGACTTTCAACACTCTGTGTAGTGTCTCCCACTAAAGGCATTTTAGGACACCTGAAAACAACCAGACTCAGATGACTGATAGCAAATAGTTTCTGTTTAAAATGTCCTGATGATACACACCTGTAATACCAGCTACTCAAGAGGGAGAGGTAGGAAGATCATGGTCAGAGGCTGAGCCTGGCAAAAACAAGAGACCTTACCTAAGCAAAAGGGTTAGGGGAGTGACTCAATTGGTAGAATGCTTACCTAGCAAGTGCAAGTCCCTGAAGCACCCTGTAGCACCATTTACCTCCTAAGCTTTCGTCACCAGACAAAAGCATTCTCTTACCTCCTCACTGTGTTCATTCTCCCTTGTGTGACCATTCACATGAGCAGACTGCAGAAAGACATGAGAAGGAATGCAAACACATCTCTGGACACTGTGGTGACAGATTTCATTCTCCTGTCTCACCCCCCGAATCTAAGAACCCTCCTCTTCCTGGTCTTCTTCTTCATTTACATCCTGACTCAGCTCGGGAACCTGCTCATCCTACTCACCGTGTGCGCTGACCCCAAGCTCCACACCCGTCCCATGTACATTCTCCTAGGCGTGCTCTCATTCCTAGACATGTGGCTGTCCTCGGTCATTGTTCCTCGAATTATGTTAAACTTCACTCCTGCCAGCAAGGCTCTCCCTTTTGGAGGCTGTGTGGCTCAATTATATTTCTTTCACTTCCTGGGCAGTACCCAGTGCTTCCTCTACACCTTGATGGCCTATGACAGGTACCTGGCAATATGCCGGCCCCTGCACTACCCTGTGCTCATGAGTAGGAGGCTCTGCACCATCCTAGTGGCTGGAGCATGGGTGGCCGGCTCCATCCATGGGTCTATCCAGGCCACCCTCACCTTCCGCCTGCCCTACTGTGGGCCCAACCAAATAGATTACTTTATCTGTGACATCCCTGCAGTGTTGAGACTGGCCTGTGCTGACACAACAGTCAATGAGCTGGTGACCTTTGTGGACATCGGGGTAGTGGCCGCCAGTTGCTTCATGCTCATCCTGCTATCCTATGCCAGCATCGTCCAGGCCATTCTGAAGATCCGCACTGCAGATGGGAGACGCCGGGCCTTCTCCACCTGCGGCTCCCACCTGACCATGGTCACCGTCTACTACGTCCCCTGTATTTTCATCTACCTTCGGGCTGGCTCCAAGAGTCCCCTGGATGGGGCAGTGGCTGTGTTTTACACTGTGGTCACCCCATTACTCAATCCCCTCATCTACACACTGAGGAACCAGGATGTGAAGGCTGCGCTGAGGAGGATGACAGCAGGGTGCAGGCTTGTCAATGAAAATAGGTAACCACAGCTCAAGGACCACTGTGTCAGCATCACCACCACTGTTTTCAGTGACTGCTCCATGTGACAAAGGTCTTTTAAACTGAACTGAATGTAATCCCACTAGGAACAAAGGCTTCTGGTGTTGTATTCAATCTCAATAAATTGCTCCTGGTCATTTGAGGTTTCTGACCCATTCCTCAGAAGAACCCATATTCTACAGATGTGTCGACTGTGAGGAGTTGACATCTCTTCCCTCCTTTGGAGGAAGAGAGACCATTACAGGCCGATTTAGGGAAACCAGTTTAATAGGGCCCCACTGCCTGTCATCATTTCCATGTATCCTAATTTCATGAGCCCCTGGGTACTCAGGATTGCTTTATTTACACCAAAGCCAATCCATCCTCTCAGGTATTCAGTCCATATCTGTTTGGATCATCTGTGTTGGTTTCTGTTTCCTTCCAATGTCCTACTGTCCTCCAATACAGTAATTGAGCAAGTTTTCTCTCCTCAGCATGCTTTCTGAAAGAGAATTAAATATTCATTCCTCTCCTATGAATAATTGCTGGCTCTCCACTGCATGCAGATAAAGCCAGACCTCTTAGCCTGGAATTCAAAGTCCTCCACTTCTGACCCCAACATACTTCAATAGTTCCATATCTGGAATACCCTTCCTCCTTCTCCATTGTAATAAACTGATGTTTTATGCTTCCTTCAAGACCCAGGGAAAATCACTGTTCCTACAGGAAGCTTTCTCTGATTCTCCTAATCATAACTTTATGCCTTCCTGCCTGTATTCCTGCAGTCCTTTGAATTTTATAGTGCACTTGTCCTGGGCTGGTCTACATCAGAGTTTAGGTAAGCATCCTGGAAACAGAACAGAAAGGTATGTGTCGTTGGTCATTGTGTTGCACCTCCTAGCTCCGTTCCCCAGCATCTCCTGGTAGCTATTTCCCAGGCCCTCTTGCAGGTCACACATCTAAGCTCTCCCAAGCTCACTATGAGAACAGCTGACTCACATATGTGATACTTCTAGGTCTGCCCTTAGAACTGGTATACAAACTTTTCCATGTTTTCCTGCTCTGAGTGGAACTAGCTTGTCATGGAGACCCAGATCATGGATACAACCTCCTGACCAAGTGGAGGGGTCACTCACCTAAGAATTTTAAGGAGAGGGAAGTAAACCTCCAATTTCTTTAGTCTACTGATTGTCAAGTTGCTTTGTTACTTCATCCTAATCAATACTCCACTTAAATTTTTTAAAATTTAAGCAACACCAGGAAAGGTTTTTTTAAGCTGCGTGTAAATTGTCCAGAGCATCCAGAAAAACTTTTTGTTAATTATCATGACGCCAAGCAGACAATCTGTCTATCATGCAGTATCTTCTGACCCAGCCAGGAGAAGGTAAATGACCTTCCCCGTCCCCTGTGACAGGTCTTGATCTCATCTGGAGGAATAAGAAAATATTTAAGGACTGGCAGAGTTGCCTAGCATGCACAAGGACCTGAGTTCAATCCATAGAACTGCCAAAAAAAATGTTTTTAAACATAAAAGACAAGACTCAAGTAAAGGAAGTACAGAGCAAGTGTATGCCCAGAAAGTGAAGGATAAGTACATGTCAGATAGTTCTTTCATTCATCTTGAAGTGTGGGATCATGTTGGTCCATCTTAGGCACAGTGAGATGAAAACAGTCTCTCTACATTAGAATTATAGATCTGAGGTAGCTGGAATAAATATGAACATCAATGTTTTTTCAAAGTCCTTCTTTTGGGGGTGGGGAATGGAGTTTGAACCCAGGGCCTTGCACTTGTTAGACAGCACTCTACACTTTTGTTTGTTTGTTTTGGCTTTTGGCTTTAGTTATTTTTCAGGTAGGGTCCTGCATTTTTGCCCAAGGCCAGCCTCAGACTGCAATCCTACCTATGCCTCCCACAAAGCTGGGGTGACAGGCACATACCACCACGCCCAGCTTATTGATTGAGATGGCGGTTCAGTGGGGTGTTGCAAATTTTTTGCCCAGTCTGGCTTCAAACCACGATGCTCCTCACCGCCACCTCCCAAATACCTGGGATTAAAGGCATGAGCCACAGCACCCACCTAAAAAACACTTCTTTAAGGAGAAAAATGTAACTGCAAAATTACAAGATTTACTTATATCTTTTCCTATAGAAGACATTGAAGACAACTTCTGTGTCCACAATAATTGATTTAGGTTGGAATATCAATATGTTTAAAAGCCAATTGTGTTATGAGTAAAATAATGTTCAAAAGAAACCAGAGTAACAGGCATGTGGTTTGTGTAACACCTCGGCTTGATTACCTCGTTTCCCTTGGCAGCAGAGATGAGTCTATTAATGCTGCAAGATCTTGGAGTCACATGTGAGTCTATTCTAGAAGCATGACTTCCCTTTTTGGATACATGCATCATTACTAACTTCATCAGTAAACATAAATACTCTTATGGAGTACAGCAAGACTTTTGTGGGACAGAACTGCAAGCAGGGGCTCAGCTAGCTTCAACACACAGAGCAGTGTCAGTTCAAGCCATGAAACTAGAATAAGTTTTTAAAAAAATGAACCTTTACCTGTGCATTGTCCCATCTCACGAGTACCTCCTCACTGAGCACACACTCAGGTTGCCATGAACAAAACTGGGCCTACAAAATGAATAATTTCCTTTCTGAAAATTTCAAGTGGGACCTGAGAAGGCCTCAAGTCCTACCTTTTCCTTCTCTCTTCCTTTCATCTATATTAAAAAGACTTCTGTGGAATGTGGCAGCCCAAGCCAGCCTTGGCCTCATAGTGAGACCATATCTGAAAAAACTAATAATAATAAAATAAAAAACCTTCATCTTCTCAGCAAGAGCTCAGTCAGCATTATTAAGAAACTGATTAAGCTAAGTCACAGTAGGTTAAAATGAATGATTTAACCATTTCAAAGATATCTAGCCATTTTGTTGCTGAGAAAAAGGCTTTAATGGAGGACTCAGTGATTTTGTTTTGTTTTTATGGGATTGGGGTTTGAACTCAGGGCTTCGCCTTGCAAAGCAGGCACTTTACCACTTGAGTCACATCCCCAGTACACTTTGGTCTGGTTATTTTGGCGTTTTGGCAAACTATTTGCCAAGGATGGCCTTGAACTGTGATCTTTCTGACCTCAGTCTCCCAAGTAGCTAGGATTATAGATGGAAGCCACCTGTGCCTGGCTGAGGACCCATGTTTCATCTGGCAAGCCCATCTGCCTTTATCAGCGAATTCTCTGCTGCAGTCCTGTGGGTCCGTTAGAGAGACATCAGGATCCTATGGTGTGAAAAGAGCACAGTTTTAGCAAAAGGCACTGGATTCGAATCCTGATTCTGCCATCTACTACACATGGAACCTCGTGCTAAATTCTAAATGAGCTATCTGAGCTTAATTACCCTGCCTGTAAAATAAGGATATGTATATCGACCTCAATATTTTTTTTTCATTTTTCTTTTATTATTCATATGTGCATACAAGGCTTGGTTCATTTCTCCCCCCTGCCCCCGCCCCTCCCTTACCACCCACTCCGCCCCCTCCCGCTCCCCCCCCTCAATACCCAGCAGAAACTATTTTGCCCTTATCTCTAATTTTGTTGTAGAGAGAGTATAAGCAATAATAGGAAGGAACAAGGGGTTTTGCTGGTTGAGATAAGGATAGCTATACAGGGCATTGACTCACATTGATTTCCTGTGCGTGGGTGTTACCTTCTAGGTTAATTCTTTTTGATCTATCCTTTTCTCTAGTTCCTGGTCCCCTTTTCCTATTGGCCTCAGTTGCTTTAAGGTATCTGCTTTAGTTTCTCTGCATTAAGGGCAACAAATGCTAGCTAGTTTTTTAGGTGTCTTACCTATCCTCACCCCTCCCTTGTGTGCTCTCGCTTTTATCATGTGCTCATAGTCCAATCCCCTTGTTGTGTTTGCCCTTGATCTAATGTCCACATATGAGGGAGAACATACGATTTTTGGTCTTTTGAGCCAGGCTAACCTCACTCAGAATGATGTTCTCCAATTCCATCCATTTACCAGCGAATGATAACATTTCGTTCTTCTTCATGGCTGCATAAAATTCCATTGTGTATAGATACCACATTTTCTTAATCCATTCGTCAGTGGTGGGCATCTTGGCTGTTTCCATAACTTGGCTATTGTGAATAGTGCCGCAATAAACATGGATGTGCAGGTGCCTCTGGAGTAACAGTCTTTTGGGTATATCCCCAAGAGTGGTATTGCTGGATCAAATGGTAGATCGATGTCTAGCTTTTTAAGTAGCCTCCAAATTTTTTTCCAGAGTGGTTGTACTAGTCTACATTCCCACCAACAGTGTAAGAGGGTTCCTTTTTCCCCGCATCCTCGCCAACACCTGTTGTGGTGGTGTTGCTGATGATGGCTATTCTAACAGGGGTGAGGTGGAATCTTAGTGTGGTTTTAATTTGCATTTCCTTTATTGCTAGAGATGGTGAGCATTTTTTCATGTGTTTTTGGCCATTTGAATTTCTTCTTTTGAGAAAGTTCTGTTTAGTTCACTTGCCCATTTCTTTATTGGTTCATTAGTTTTGGGAGAATTTAGTTTTTTAAGTTCCCTGTATATTCTGGTTATCAGTCCTTTGTCTGATGTATAATTGGCAAATATTTTCTCCCACTCTGTGGGTGTTCTCTTCAGTTTAGAGACCATTTCTTTTGATGAACAGAAGCTTTTTAGTTTTATGAGGTCCCATTTATCTATGCTATCTCTTAGTTGCTGTGCTGCTGGGGTTTCATTGAGAAAGTTCTTACCTATACCTACTAACTCCAGAGTATTTCCTACTCTTTCTTGTATCAACTTAAGAGTTTGGGGTCTGATATTAAGATCCTTGATCCATTTTGAGTTAATCTTGGTATAGGGTGATATACATGGATCTAGTTTCAGTTTTTTGCAGACTGCTAACCAGTTTTCCCAGCAGTTTTTGTTGAAGAGGCTGCTATTTCTCCATCATATATTTTTAGTTCCTTTGTCAAAGATAA